ACTATGGATCGGATAGCATCTGGCAGCTGAGCCATTGTGTGCCCGAGTGCACTTGTTCTACGGAGGGGTGGATCCCTGGCACCACTGCTGTGTGTGCGGCATGTGCATTGTCCATCCAAACACCGTGTTTCTAGTGTCCTGCTAGGTTTGTGTGCGGTGGGATTGTGGTGTTGCATTTGCTGGTGTAAAGACCAAGATTCATACAAACTCTGAGATAGTGAGTACTTCAGGAAACGAATACACAAGGCAAAGAGCAGTATTCCGAGAAGCCGCCGTTGCAAGAGCGTGCGGCCGCAGAAGACCAGTCAAGCGAATCAAGCAAAATCTCGGAACCCAAAAGAAGCTGTAACGGCAGTAGGCGGCAGTCACAGAAATCCTACAGTCCTTTTGAGATTCAAGAGCAGGCCGAAGGAGCTCCGAGGCTAAAAGGGTCTCAGTCAAGAAGCCTTGCTCCACGTGCCCGTGGTGAGGCGAGCCTGCTGCCGATGTCCTTGAGCATTTGGAACATGATCCTGTATGGCCCTGGCATAGCGCAGCTTAGCACATCTTGGTCTCAGCGAACTAAAGACCTTCAGTTGAGGGGGTGGTTTGATCGGGCTGGAGAGCCGTCCTTGGGTCATGTAGAACATTTCGTAAACAAAAACTTGGGTTCGACGGCTGCCACTCCTTCAAATAAATGAATGGCAGTGACCGTTGTTGTGGTCTATTTCCGCTTCTTGGCGCATCTGTTCGACTCTGTCGACGACGTGTTTCTGGTGTTGGGATGGGGAAGGATCTTCAAGCATTGAAGCTGCTTTCGCTCCTTGTGGAAAAGCATGGGCTGGCATCGCTTTGCAGCGAAAACGGAACTCCATGCTAGTCGAATCCCGGGCACGAGCGCTTCGATCCGCGACCAAGGACGGAAGCAGCTGATCTGAATCCGCTGCTGTGAGATTGAGCACTTAAAAGAGTGCCTGCAGTGCGAAATTGTGCACGCTGGCAGCTCGAGCGTAAGAACAGTTGCCTGAACAGAACTCGGCGCGGGCTGAGTTCTCTTTTCGGGAAGTGTATAGACTGAATACGACCGAAGATTTGTTCATTTTAGACGGGGCCTGTAAGAGGCTGCATGCGATGCGACCTCTTTGCAGCGCCTTTGTCTCCGGATGACATCCCTGAAGCTGCGCAAGCACAACTGCGTTACGCTTGTTTGGAGCGGCAGAAAGCGGTGGTTGTCCGGTGAATCGGCCCAAGGCAATTCAACTGCAGCAGAGAAGCGACGGGGGCTCTCGGGATTTTGAGACTTCCCAGTCGCCTGTGAGCTGCTAGTAGCTCCAAATCCATTTCGACCATTTTCCACAACATTGCTTGCATGTTGTGTTTGTGATCCTATGTGATCTTTTGATCTTGTTCCGCAGGAAATTATCTGCGCCCGATGTAGCGCGAAGCACAAGTCCAAGTGCCGGTTCTGTAAAGGGATCTCAGTGACATGAGATGACGGCACGCACAGTGCGAACTCCTGGCCTCCTATGAACCATTCTTTTGTGCAGACGGGCGGCATTCAATGACCGCGCATCGGAGACCAGTCCTATCCGATGCACAATGCATTCATCTTCTGCGACCTGCCTTAGGCATTGAAGTTACTGAATTCTGGTGGCTCATGGGGCGCAACGTGCATGTCAGACAGAGTATAGCTCAGATTATATATACTTAGTCAAATGTACAGGTGGAGCACTGGCTGAGAAAAGCAGGATTTTTCAGGTTGGTTTCGACTGCTTTTGGACGCTGCAGTGCTTGTTGCAGCCGGCAGTCTTTGGTCGTCTGGAGGCTGTTGCTTTTCACACCTCCAAACGCTTAGTGCGCCGACGTCTCTTGCGACATGTTGGGCACATGCGTGGCCCTCAATCGTTGTGTCATGTGTTTTTTGTGGTGCCAGAGACTCATTGAGGCGGAGACTCTCGAAAGAGGAACAAGCACTCATTTCTTTGGTAAATCTCCTGGAGAGGCAGCGGAGTTGCTTTAGGTGCTGCTTAAGAAGGAAGGACTTTTTTGGTGTGCCGGTGCCAGGCTTTACACTAATCCCTGCTACACCACCGAGTTCAACAGAATGCGGCTAGCTCGCAGTTTGGCAGTGCTTCTACCGCAGTCCCACATTTCTGCGTCGAGGTTGAGCATTTGAGCATAGTTGAGCCATGCTGCGCGAATGAGCACAGGACCACCGGCCTGACGACGGGTCAGTACCCCCAGCGAGCTCACAGCGGGCAGCTCCCCGAGTGGACGAGAGAGAGGGACAGAATTGGCCTCTTTTTGAGAGTATTCCTCAAAAGACCAGGTCTGTGCCGCCTTTCTGCTCTTGGCCGGCGGGTGGCCAGCCCATGTTGCTTGTGGGCTTCGACCCTGGGCTCCCCAATTGGACTACTGGGAAAAAATCGGCGCGAGAGTCTCCGAGGACTTGTTTGTGATGGTGCCATTGGCGGCCACATTGCTGTCCGAAGCTCGATACAGTTGCTGAAGTTCTCTCACGGCTTCGAGTGTTCCGTGCTGTGGCCAGCGTTGGAAAAGGCCCGCCGTCCGGACGAAAAAAGTCTTGTTGGCGAGGCGGCCGCTTTTCACGTCGAGCAACAGCGCCCAGAAATGATCCTGAACGACGAAGGCCGGAAGGGAAGTGGCACAGGGTCCGGCGGCACTTCAGCACTGGGCCACTTGGGTGATCTTTGGTGCTGATATGAGGCAGTTTTCATGCGAGCAAACCGATTCCCCGTTGCCTACCTGACGCTCAGGTGGACACCCGTGGCGGTGGACCGCAGTATTTCGAGCAACAGACGAGCTTGCGGGTGCGGCTGGGGACTGGGAATTGGTTATGACCACTGGACAGGGACACGGCAGTTTCTCAAGCACATCTCAACGATGCCCCTCCTCCCCAGTAAGCAGTGCCTGCATTGTTGTAACCTCAGGGCCCAGCCCATCCGTCTGCAAGGGTACAGTGCCAGTGTTTTTCTAGGTTCAGTCAATGCCGCAGCGCGATACCAGTGACAGGAACTGCCGATGGCACAGCGCATGCCCTTGGAGCTCTATGACATGTGGTCTGGATACCAGACGTCGCACCGGCCGAGTCATTTTTGACGCAGCCACTGCTGTTGGAGAGCAAATCTCTATCATGTCTAGGCCAGCAATGGCCGCAATGCTCGAGATGTCTCCCAGAGCACGCAAGGGATGGGCCAGCATGCCTTGCGGCGATGTTCGAACCCAAGCCCAGAAATCTCGCTGACCCTGTGCATTCATGTTCATCCCGAAGGTTGAGGACTTGGATGCAACACCTGTGCTGGGTGCTGATCCCGGCTGTAGAAGATTGAAGCGATTGCAATCGTGTCCGCGACTGGCATAAATAGCTGCAAGGCCTGTCGAACTTTCACAAAGGATCCAACCTTGCACAGGCAGGGCGAACTCGATCCAGATGCGGCAGCAATTCGGAATAGCTTGAGACAGGGCACTGCGCTGTGCCGTATAGGATGTGCATGGGGACGATGTCGCCGATATGCGCGAACAAGCAGATGAAGGTGACACAGTCCAGGTCCCCAGTTTCGCAGTACTGCTGGCCTGTCCAGCAAATCTGTCACCTCTAGAAGGCCGCATCAGTGTAGAAGGTACACAGATCAAGTGCAGCGAGCAACTGCACTCAACGACATCAACGCTTGCAGCTTCGGGCACCGTGTAAGGAGATGCTGAACAGCTTGGAGTCGGCGCCGCTTGCTCGGGCCAGTCGAGACCTCAATGCCTTCGCAGCAACATTAGCAACGAACGTCGCACCGAGAAGGCAGCACATCCTAGAGGGAGCGTTTGCCGAGGCTGCTGTCGCTGCCGACTGGAGGGGCGTGGCACCCAGTTTTTGTAGAAAGGCAACCTTTTTTGTAGGAATTTACTTTTTTTGCGACTGTGGGATTTTGTTTTCTTTCTTGGTTTGGGAGGGTCTCACTTCCGAGCACAGCTGTCGTTGTTTGCTTCCGCGCCTTTGCTTTTCCGCTTATATATATATATATGTATCCATATATATATGTCTCCTAATTATCGGCTAGGTAG